GTGAGAGCACCGTGAGCCGTGAGGACGAAGAGGCCGCCGGCACTCGCGCTGGTCACCGAGGTGGATCTACGAGAGCTGACAACAGTCGCCTGCCCTAGTACGCGCTAGTCACTGGTCGCCCAAGCCACGCGGCCGCACTCGCGCCAGTCACCGGGGTGGATCAGCGCGAGCCAAGTGCGGTCGCCCACCTGGCCGTGCTTGCACCGCAGTAGCCTCGTGCCTGCGTGAGAGAGAGAGAGAGAGAGCGGAGAAGTCTGGGAAGAAGTTGATCTGCGGAGAGAGACATGAGAGAGCGATCAGAGAGAGGGGGCACCGGGATTGAGAGTACTCGGACTTAACTGATTTGGAGCATCGGACTTGAGGTGTGACACCAACCGGCCAGGACTAAATGTCCCTTTCTAGTCCCGGACGGAGCCTCCAGCTGGGAGTAGACTTTTACTCCTAGAGGGACCAACCGGGAGTAAAAGTTAACCTTTAGTAAAAGTTAACCTTTAGTCCCGGTATTGACATCCACCTTGAAAAGCTAGTAGCTGCTAGTGCTAGAAAGTAGCAGCCCGTAATAACAATCTATATTTATTCATTATACTTTGTTTCATTTGCTTTCTTTTGTCTGTTTATTAAATTCAACACCACCATGTTATGTCAAAAATAGTCTTCCAGAAATGAGAAAGGGAGACAAAAAAGAGTAATAAGAAATAAGTAAATGAATTAATGAGTCAGAGAGTATCCATTATAAATCTTTTAAGAGTCATACAATCTAAGAAATCTATATGAAACAATTTTTTTTTCCAACCCAGTTAAGATAGAATAGCTCCTCAAGAGGAGATCCTTAAAACCCACTCTTACAGAAGTAAATGAATTAATGAGTCAGAGAGTATCCATTATAAATTTAGTACTATTGATATGATTTTTATATTAAGGGGGTCTGAGTTTGAGTTTGGCTCTAGGCCTCAACAATCCTAGAACCGACACTGCCTCTGGTGTGGCCGCGACCGCCGCCTCTGGCCTGGACGGGCTAGCTGAGGGCATGGCCGCGCTGGCAATGGAGGGCATGGCCGCGCCGGCAGCAGAAAGCGTGGACGCGGCAGCAGAAGGTCAAGCAAAAGGTCTGTATGAGGCGGCAGAAGGCATGTCCACTGCTCTAGCCCTAGCGAGATCGCTGCTTCCAACTGCTCCTCTTCCGGTAGTAGAGTGCAACCTTCCTGTTCTTGAAGTGCAAAAGTATATATGCTTTCTGTTTGTTTTTTACCACGATAGTAGTACATATTAGTTAAAGTTGATTTCACTTGTTTAGGTCCCAAGTAGATCATGTGGAAAATATGGAAATAGTTGATTGGGATACGATATAAATAGTGGAGACACATGATGACGAAGGTCGTATTGCACTTATGAGTGAGTCGCAGATTTATGAGCTTTTAGGCTTGACAGAGGAGGGCACAACAAATATACCTGCACAAGGCTTTCATTACCAAATGGATGAAGATGGGAATGATAATGAGATTGGACAAGATATTGATGGTGCTGCCATTCCTACTATTGATGTCGTACTAGGTGAGATGGTCATTTCATATGATAAGAACAACCCATCCATGGAGGTAGGAACATTGTACCCAACAATGGAGGAGTTCAAGCTAGCAGTGCGGTAATTTGCTATCAATAAGGAGTTCGAATTAGGAGTAGAGAAGTCATGTGTACTTAATATTGTGTTATATGCCCGGAGTTTTACTCTAATTTTCTGGAATTTTTTACTGTATTTTTATGAATTTTAATAATGTGTAATATACCCCGGTGGCGGCGGCAAGCGTGCCAGCCAGCCTTATGATTTATTTGATATGACTTGAATCTTGTTTGGAACATTATTATGATGTGAGATGAATTCATGTGTACTTAATACTGTGTTATATGCCCAGAATTTTACTCTATTTTTTTGGGTATTTTTACTGTATTTTTGTGAATTTAAATAATATGTGACATACCCCGGCGGCGGCGGCAAGCCTGCCAGCCTTATGATTTATTTGATATGACTTGAATCTTGTTTGGAACATTATTATGATGTGAGATGAATTCATGTGTACTTAATATTGTGTTATATGCCCAGAATTTTACTCTAATTTTCTAGATATTTTTACTGTATTTTTGTGAATTTAAATAATATGTGACATACCTATGGCGGCAAGAAAGCGTACCAACCATTACCCAGACGGCGGCATGGCGACAAGCAAGCCACCAACCAAAGCCAAAGCTGGAGGCGGGCGGCGGCGGCAGGCGACCAGGCACGACGACCCTCTCGTCCACTCTTACGTGAATATGATCAAGGGCAACACGGTCCTCCCATGGCAAAATATATGTATTTGAAATGAGAAAAGTGATTAAAATGACCAAATGTCATGTAAAACAAAGTGCCAACGTTTTAAATGTCGAATTTTAGTGAAGTCGACTTTTATTTGGCAAAGTGTTCATAATGGACTAAAAGCCAATTGTTTCGCGTAATTTTCCATATAATAGCAATTAGTTTTTTTTCTACATTTAATGAAAGCTACCAGTCATAAAACATGAGATAGTGCGATATTTATTTTGTAGAATTTTTTAGTTCTAAATGTTGCCAACAACGTAAAGTGTAAAGTAAAGAGGCGGAATTTTATGATTTATTTGATATGACTTGGGCTTGTTTGGAACATTATTATGATGTGAGATGAATTCATGTGTCGATAATATTGTATTATATGTCTAGAAATTTTACTCTAATTTTTTTCAGGTATTTTTACTGTATTTTTGTGAAAAATAAAAAAAGGATTGGCATACCTAGAGGTAAATTTTTTTTGCTGCGCATAGCAGAGGTAAAAACCTAGTGTCACTGTTCACTTGCATCGCAAACTGGAGACAAACATTCACATGGGCCTAGACGCCTTTTTCATTGAATTGATTCGTTTGCTTCGGCTCCATGCGAGCTGAAGCAGCACATATCTACCGTGTTAAAGATACAATAGAGAGTTTCATCTACCAACCAACTGATCTGATCATCTGATCCCGAAAGCATAACCGGATGGACGTGTGGTGGGCAATATAGCGCGTGTTTAGTTTGAAGCCAAAACCCTAAAAAGTTATCATGTGTTTACAAGACATGTGCCAACAACGTGGCGTCGAGGACGGACGAATGGTATGCACGAGGGGCTTTATCATACCTTGGGCGTTAATAGAGATAGATAGAAATTTTCAATGTAAAAAAAATAAAAAAAGGATTGGCATACCTAGAGGTAAAATTTTTTTGCTGCGCATAGCAGAGGTAAAAACCTAGATCCGTCACTGCGTGGCGTGGTCAAATGTTCACTGTTCACTTGCATCGCAAACTGGAGACAAACATTCACATGGGCCTAGACGCCTTTTTCATTGAATTGATTCGTTTGCTTCGGCTCCATGCGAGCTGAAGCAGCACATATCTACCGTGTTAAAGATACAATAGAGAGTTTCATCTACCAACCAACTGATCTGATCATCTGATCCCGAAAGCATAACCGGATGGACGTGTGGTGGGCAATATACTTTGACAAAACGCGCCAGAGAAATCTTGTGTTGCGAGACATCCCATGGCGATGCGATGCCGTGGACCAGGCGCCGTACTCCCGGTCGTCGTCCACTCGTCCGCAGAGCCGACACGAATCTTCGCCTGCAGTTCCAGCCTCCAGGTCCAGGTCCAGCACCAGGGCCCGGGGCGGCGGGCGGCTCTCGAGCGCCGTAATCAATTGCCGACACGCGCATCATTGGCCAGCTGACGATGAGGACGAGCACCACCGGACAGCGGTGGCGCCTCCCCGGTCCACGCCATCGCCACGGCCGAACGAACCAACGCGGCAGACGGGCCGGTCCACCCTGCCCGCCATCACCATCACATATCCACCGGCACGGCACCTCACGGCCACCGCCTATCATTTTCGGCGGGACAGACAGGTACGCCTCGCACGGTAAGTCCGTGTCCGTCCACCGCGCCGGCCAGATCGCCAATCCCCGCGCGGCACCGCAACGTGTGCCCGTCGCCGTCAGGTAGCAAACGCCAGCACCACGGCCGCCGTCGCCCCGACGGCCTCCTCACTCCTCAGCCTTTGCCGCCTGCCGCCTGCCGCCAGCACCCAGCAGGCGACACGAGGAGACCCCCACTTCCGAGGGACCGAGGCGTGCTAAAAGATGGTAAAGCCAGTTCGCGACGAAACCCGATGCTGCTGCTTCTTTCAGCCAAACAGACATGGCCCGGTTTGGCACAAGGAGCACGCAAGATTCACTGGAGACCATCAAATTGGCCTCATTTGGAACGGTGGAATTATTTTTCAAATTTAAGAACAAACTATTCATATTTGAAAATTTCCATGAAACTCCAACGTTTCAAACAGAGCCCACAGCCCAGAGATTGATCACAACACCACTTGCCTTCGAAATTGAAATCGGAATGATCAATCACAAACAAGGAAAAGATTTTTTTGAGCGAGATTGACAGGGGCCTTTCATTGAAGTGGAACGAAGAAACAAGGAAAAGATTGATGAAGCTGTTGCCCATCTTGCTTGCCGAGTATCTTTTTTCTTTACACACGTCTTTATGTGAAGGGGAGAGGTACATAGCCGTCTTGCATAGCTACATGCCCGCACACACTGACACGCACGCACGCACCCGTCTGTCTCCTGCTACTGTGTGCTAGAGCCGTCGCCGTCGCCGTCCGTCGACGTCGCCTCCGGGCAAACGGCACATCTCGCACGCTAGGCTCCTCCTACTACTTACTACGGCTTCCGGCCCTGACGTCGACGTCGCGGCTCCATTATTGGCCACCTCCGAGCTCATCCGCATTCCACCGAACACCTTGCGCTGCGTCCCTGGCGCCATCTTGTTGCCTGCTTTACTTGCTACTGCTGTCTAGCTAGCTAGCTACCCCTCAGGTGAGTAGTTTTGCCTAAGGACTAGGGGACGGTAGATGGAGGAGGAGGAAGAAGAAGAACAACGACGAAATCAGCGGGCTTCACTCGTCGTCTGAGGTGTCCGGGGTGGGCTCCCGGTTGAGGTCGGGGTTCTTGGGGCGGCGGCGAAGGGACGACAGCGGCTGTGGAGAGGCGCCGCCTCCGCCAGCGAGGCCGCCGACGCCGCAGTGGAGCGCGTCGACGCGGGCGCCGACCTCGGCCGCCTTCTTGCGGATGGCGGCGGCCGTGAGCCCCGCCCCGGCGCCGTCCTTGTGCCCCTCGGGGTTGTCGGCCACCGCCGCGCCGTCGAGTTGGTCGGGGAAGTTGAGCCGCGCGGAGCGGCCGCGGAGGCAGAACACGGCCGTGTCGTAGGCGCGCGCGGCGGCGACGGCGGTGGAGTAGGACCCGAGCCAGATCCGCGACCGCTTGTTCGGCTCGCGGATCTCCGCCACCCACTTGCCCCACTTGCGCATCCGAACGCCGCGGTACTGCCTCCCTCCTCCGCCGCCGCCGCCGCGGCCGTGCCCTGCCGCTGCCGCGACCGCTCCACCGGCGCCAAGCACCGTCGCGGGCGGCGCCGAAGCCGGGGCGGCCGGCGCGGGCTGGGGCGGCGGGCAGAAGGCAGTGGCGTCCCTCTCCATCCCCCCGGTTCGGCAGCAGCAGTTTGCCGCGGCGGCGGAGGTGGTGGGGGTCGTGGGGCGCTGCCGCTCGCTGCTACTGGTCTGCGTCTCTCTCTCCCCCTCCTCTGACCCTCCCCCCTCTCTCTCTTTCTCTTGCGCCTATGAGCGGTGGGGTCTATAAATAGTTGGGGATTAGGCGAACGGCCCAGGTGGGGATTAGCGTGGGGGCGTGAGTTGGTGGGAGGGCGATTAGGGCGTGGCGGGATTTTTCGCGGGCGCGAGTCGGTGCGCGCGCGCGCGGCTGTGTGTGTGGGTGTGGCGACAGGGACGGCCGGCGCTCGCGACCTGTGCGAGTGTGACGGTGACTATGAGCTTATCGCCAGGGAGTTTTAAGTAGAGTAAACTAGTCGCTCGTTAGGTTTTGGTGTGATGGGTGCGGTCATTAGTGCGGTCGAAATAATTGATGGTCGGTGCGCACTGGGAACGGATGCGCTCTCTCTCTCTCTCTCAAAAGCTCTGCAGGATACTGTCACTTCTGATTTCTGCCCCTACTTGCGGTATGTACTCCTACGTATGGTATGGAACGTACTAACGGTTGTGCGTCCACCGTGATGTAACATGGCACGCTCAGTTCTGTCTGAACGCCGCAAAAGCAAATACACGTACAGCGACGAACGATGGCAACGCAAGTAGGCGGCGCGCGTTGCCAGCTTACGTTACGTGCACCGCATCTGGCTGCGGCGGCGGCCGTAACAGGTCCTGTGCTGGCTAATCAAGAGAGCCGTCACAGTTAAGCAACGCGATCATATGCCCCAGCCCCCAGCCGCCGCGACCGTCTACGCGACGCGAGAGACGAGACCGAGCCGAGAGGCGTGCGCCGCCGCCGACGGGGGCCGAACGGCCCGCCCGCGCCCGTGTGAGCAGCGCCGCGTGTCGCGCCGCCAGGAGGGCAGCGAACGGACGGACGGACTAGCATCGGGATGGGCCGGCCGCGAAGCCGATACGGTGCGCGGCGACCGACGAAGGACGGGACAGCTAGCGCCCGCCGACACGCGCGGGAGAGCGGCGGCCACGTGGCGGGCGCCGCGGCAGGCGACGCGGACAGCATGTGCCCCGCCCCGGCCGGATACGGGAAGAAGCACGGTGCGACCGCGAGCGGAGTGGGAGAAGCCGTGGGGAACGGACGGTGACGGGCCGACGGGCGTGTCGTGGGGCGTCGTCCCGTGTGTCCATGTCGCGTAGCGCGGGGCCCGCCGCCCCACGGCGCGACAAGGCGGGGGCGACCGCGACGCCGTTGTTATCCGCTTGGTTCGGTTCGGTGCCGCGGGCCGGGATGCCGATGCCCCCCATGCCGCCCGCGCGCGGGCCCTGCGCTGCCTGCCGCCGCCGTGCTGGCCCTTCGATTTCTCTTCCTCCTCGTTCGTCAACGTGGGATGGGGCGGCGGACGGTTTGGGGTTGTCTGGTTCTGTGACGTGCGAGTGCTCCGTATCCTTGAGCGGCTGGAGTTGGCCGGTGGCCGCCCGGGTCACCGACTCACCGCTCCCTTGATGCGTTTGGCCGTTTGGGCGCAGGCAGCCGCGCAGGTGATGATGCACCAGTGCAGTGCGATTTCAGATCTCTGCTCGGGAAATGCTGCGAGCAGAACGGAGTGGATGCATCGAGCGACTGCGGTGTCAGTGTCCTGTCACGCTGGGCCACTGAAGGCGATCCACTGATTTGGCCGTACTCCTACCGTTATGCTGGAGTACAGTACACTAGGATTTTTGCGTCGGTGGACGGAGCTTCCTGACAGTTCCTTCACAGAGACAGGTGGTTCGATGGCAGCGTGGATAGCGAGCTACGGAACCACGTTCGCGGATCGCGACGCGACTGCCGTCCTGTAGTACAGCCTAGCAGGTGATTTTCAGTCATGTTTTCGGCTTTTCGCAGGGTCAGGGAGTCTGGCTGGTGGGACAGCCGGACAGGTCGCCGAAGCCTTCCCGTACAGAGGAATGAATTTCCAGTCCAAACCAGCCCGTCAACAATATTTTTCTCTCGCAATAAACCAGCATCAACCGATTCAAACCAACCCAGAAATCAATCAGCGAACGGGCGAATAGCTGCAGCGAACCAGAAGATGCGCCAACGGAAGCAGGACAGAAAAGATAACTGTGAGGATAACATTTCTCATTTCGTATGGATGTTCTGCCAAAGGCGAAAAGATAGAAAAGATCGATTCTCAGCGGAAAGGATCTACAGCCAGCCACAGGCATTTCTTATAATGGTTCTCCATCACATGTTATTTCATGGGCTTGTTCAGCAGAAGCGATAAGCAAAAGGTAATACTTCCCTCCGTTTGTGTTTATTTGTCAACAACTTTTTACTATAGTAGATTTTACCATCTATTTTTTCCTCTAAAAAAATCTTAGATACTTCAATGTATATAACACTAATAAAGTATGTTCAATAAAAAATTATATATGTGAAAACTTGATGTATCTAAAAATCTTTTGCAGAAAAAAACGTATGATCAAAATTGCTATAGTAAAAATTCAGTGACAAGTAAACGAAAACGGAGGTAAGTATTTCATTCAAAAAAAAGAGTAAAGTACACTTTCCAACCTCCAACTTACACTGAGTTCGATTTTCAACCTCCAACTATGAAACCGGGTAACAAACACCATTCAACTATCAAAATCGGACAGATTTGGTCTTCGGCTGATTTCAAAAGCGGTTTTCTATTTTCGGGAGGCGCCGAAATTTTATATTATTTTTTTGAGCCTCTTAACGTCCTCAAATGAAAAAACTCAAAACTACAAAGTTGTAGATCTCATTGAGAGCTACAACTTTGTATAAAAAGTATCTTCATTTGACTCCATACAAAAAATATATTATTTTTCTAATGCAGCAAGAGCTATTATGAAATTTTATATTATTTTTTGAGCATTAACATCCTCAAATTAAAAAACTTAAAACTAGAAAGTTGTATATATCATCGAGATCTACAATTTTTATATAAAAATCATCTTCATACGACGTCGTATTGAAGAGTTATATTTTTCGAAAGTTGTTTTGTCCCGTGAGAAGACTCAACTTGTTTCGAAAAATATAACTTTTCAATATGACGTCGGCTGAAGATGATTTTTATATAAAAATTGTAGATCTCAATGATATCTACAACTTTCTAGTTTTAAGTTTTTTTAATTTGAGGACGTTAAGTTGCTCAAAAAATAATATAAAATTTCAGCATCATAATAGCGTTTGCCGTATTAGAAAAATAATATATTTTTTGTATGGAGTCAAATGAAAATACTTTTTATACCAAAGTTGTAGCTCCCAATGAGATCTACAACTTTATAGTTTTGAATTTTTTCATTTGAGGACGTTAAGAGGCTCAAAAAAAATAATATAAAATTTCGGCGCCTCCCGAAAATAGAAAACCGCTTTTGAAACCAGCCGAGGACCAAATTTGTTCGGTTTTGATAGTTGGAGGGTGTTTGTTACCCGGTTTCATAGTTGAAGGTTGAAAATAGAACTTCGGTGCACGTTAGAGGTTGGAAAGTATACTTTACCAAAAAAAAAAAAAAAGAGTAAGCAAAAGGCAATAACCCCTTGCGGCAGACGAAAGATGCCCAACCTGCCTACCCATCGAACTGAACTTAACCAAAGTGTTCTTCATGATCGAACTGAACACCCACCGGCACCCAGTCAAACTGGTGTTTAATCCTTCAAGTGAACGGCAGGATAAACTTATGTCTCGTAAGTTCGAGACCGAGTGACTTGTTGATCTCCCGATGCTCAGTCCCCATCCCTGTATCAAGATGTTATCCAAAACTTGCACCTGAAATGCAGTAACTGCAAAATATAGAGTCTTCCAAAAATGGTTAAGACGTGCAAAACTGCAGATCTGAAGAAGGGCATACAACAGGGGCACCATATTTTTTGTTAATTGTCCCCATATGTTAACACAGAAGAGAAGGAACTGTCTCAATTAGCTCATAACTAACTAGCCTATGTTCTCAAACTAAAATTAAATTAGTACTTCTGGCTGAGGAACTCGCCCAGTCGCCCCAAAACTGGTGTTTGATATGGATGTAAATCAAATGAGAAATAAAACTGTCTCGTCTGCATAGTTTCCATTCTAACACTGCTCTAATGAACCACAACCGCGGATTCTCGAAATCACATGATCATTTCCTATAACAAAACAAAGAAAGAGTGTTCAACTATCAAAAAGTTTAGTGGTGAGAAATGAACTTATATACAGATAAATCAATAGTTGGATACCCCAGACTTCCATACCCTTTTGGCCAGAAGGTGAGCATGCTTCCTAGCAATCTATTAGGGCAGAGCATGGGCTTCGATTGTCAAAAATATAAGTGCCAGGAAGATAAGATTGTTTCTAGAATTGCTTGGAGAAATAGAGAGCACAGAGCAGGAATGATGCCGGCCTGACAATCGTGATGGTCAGCATCTACAAAATTCGGGCATGTGAAACCTTTACCAGTAAAAGTTTCAAGAAACAATGGCTGAATTATTTGATGAAATAGGAGATCCTAGAAAAGAGGACCTCTAACCTTAAGCAGAATAGCAGTGAGCAAAGCATGAAACCATTCATGCCTCAGTATGAAAAGTTAGTTCAGGAGATGTGCAGGAAGCCAGGAAGACAATACAAGCATGTGAATTGTGGTGGTGGTTGCTTGGTTGTTGGTGCATTTCATTCTGGAATCTGGATCCTGTGGGAAATGTGCTGAAAAACAAATGAAGCTTGACTTAAAACTCGATACAAGTTCTTTCCAATTCTCTGGAGGTAGCACTAAAGTGAACAAATGTAATCTTCTTCGATGCGCAAGAAAAACTAAAAAGGCGAATTAACTCAACTCAGTTACCAAACATTCATATCACATAGAGAGTGAACTACTCATGCAAACTGATCAAATATTCATGATCCAGTTACTTTTTAAGGGAAGACAATCTTGTGGCTAATTCTACAATAGTTTGCTAATTTCTGCATGATCAACTGGTCAAGTCACATGTACCCAAAAAACCAAAAAAAAGAAGTATCCATACAAATGTTTACCGCTTACCTGTTAACACACATGTGAACCTCACAAGTAACCATCCTCTTCCTCATCATCACTACTCCAAAACATGCTATCAAATATGCCATCTGTAATGTCCTCATCAGCAAACGCAGATATTGTCGTAGCCCCGAGCAAACTGGTTCTCATTCCAACAATATTGTCAACAACATCATCAAAGTCACTTGCATCCCAATCCCCTATGAACTGCTCACCCCGCTCATCTTCCTGATCTTCTCGGTACTCTGCAAATGTGCATCTCCTCAGCATCTCCTCATCAACCTCCCCATTCTCGACTCGGTCCCATGGCAACCAAATGTCAGCAACCTTGCCAAGAGCACGGCAACCGTCGCCCACCACGACCGTCCTCAGGTCGGCACCGCGAGCATTCCGCACAGTATCGGTGAAATCCGAGTCGTCAGAGACGAGCACCACCCAATCGACACCACAGGCGACGGAGTGCTTCACCTGACGCTTGAGCGCGTGGTCCGCGGCCTGCGGCTTGTCGGAGACGGTGCGGACGTGGACGCCCGCGCGTCGGAGCTCGGAGGCGAGCCCATATCCTACCTTGGGGGTGAAAAGCTCCCGCGCGGCGTCCTCGTACTTGGTGTTGCCGGAGATGAACCGCTCGCGGAACTTCTGCCGCTTCTTGCCCTTGAGGGAGCGGAGGCGGGAGAGCTTCTTGTTGCGCTCGCGCTCGTGAAGCTGGCGGAAGTGGCGGGTGAGATCGGGGCGGGTGGGGAAACGGCGGCCGCAGACGGCGCAGGAGTAGGGCACGGAAGGGGCGACGACCCCCGTGCGCTCGGCGCGGTCGAGGGCGCTGCGGTCGCGGCGCTCGGCGGCGACCCAGCCAGGGAGGTGGGAGAAGGCGTGGCGGTTGGCGAAGGCGGAGACCGAGACGACGCGGCCGAGGAGGGAGGCAGCGCCGATGAGGGCGGTGGCGGCCGGGAACGGCGGCCCGCGCGGGGGCTTGTTGTCGAGGTCCCACAGGACCACCACAGTTGGGGACCGCGCCGTCCAAACGCCGTCCCGCCCGCGGACCATCTCGACGTCCGCCGATGCGGACGGGTTCTCAGCTTCGGCCCCTGACGCCGTCGCTGAGGCGCGCCGAGTGCGGAGGGAGAGGTGAGGGTGGGAGTGGTGGGTGCGATGGACCCGGAAGGAATGGAAAGGGGCAGTGTTGGGCGGGAGGTGGAGGAAGGAGAGGGCAAGGGGCATGGCGGCGGTGGCGCTGGGCGGGAAGAGCCGCGCGTGGGGAGGCAGTGCTCGGCGAGTGTGCTGATTGTGGCCTTGTGGGAATGAAGATTGAGAAAGAAGAAGACGGACGCTTGCATTGGAGAGAACATGATAATCTTTTTGTTTCCCTTTTTCTTTTCAGCGAGAAGTATGTTTTTGCAGGCTAAAAAAAAGTATGTTTTTGCGCGAGATACTGCGTTTCCATCTTCTTCAATCTTCGTAAAGAAAACAAGTGGAAATTAGTAAATAGGGGTAGTATATGCATATAGACTTATTGGTAAAGAAAACAAGGGGGAATTAGGAAATAGTTATAGTTATAAACTTATGAAAACGAATTTTATAGAGGGTGTTTGGCTACCATAGCAGTTGGTTTTTTATGACAGTTGCCATGTACGAGGCCAAATATTGAGTGCATAATGTGGTCTAATTCGGTCTAAAAAATGTGGTCCAATTGGTGGTCAGAGCCCATTAACCTTTATTAGTCCCTAGGCCTGTTAGCCTTGATTATTTCATAATTAGTTTATGTTTAGTCTATTATCATAGGATGGACTAATGTTTAGCCTTAGGATCCAAATACTACCTTAAATAACATGTTTTTTTCTAAGAGCAACTTAGCGCAAAACTCAGGTTATAATCTAAATTTATTACCCACGCTCAGTTATTTTCTAAATGGGTTGACAAATCAGACTCGATAGTGTTAAAGAAATAATCAGTAAGTAGCATTAGGGCTCAATAAAATCATATGCTCTTTTGGGCCATAAAAAAGGCCCACTAGCCCATATTAAGTCATATATATTTTCAACCTTTGTTGCAAATCCTAATGTTGTCTACTTTTCCCACTCCCTCTAGGCGCCGCAAATGGCTAGCACGGGGCACCTGCACTTGCGTAGCATAGAGAGCAGCGCACTAGCAACAAAATGGTTAGAGAGCATTAGGAGATGCAAGCATGGCGCCGGGCACATCATCATCAAGGAAAGACTCGTCCTTCTAAAACAAGTTCTTTGTTGTTTCTCGATCCAACCCCTGAGTCTCTTGCTAGCTAACAGTTGACCATTGCATTTGTGTGTGATTGAATGTCGAATCCTCAGTGCATCATCACAAAGCACTAGATCGGAGTTTTTTTATTGATGCCTTATGTGTAGACATTTCAAGTTGAATTTGGTCTTGGTGTTTGTTGATTCCTTTTTTTCTCTATCCCACAAACTCTGTGCAAGCCCTAGTGTGTCAAGCTCACTTATTAGACGCGTGAGGAGGGAAGTGATGGCCCACATGTTTGGGGTGGGTGTATCCCCTCGTCCACGATTTAATGGTTATAGTGCCATCTTCTTCCTTAGCGTTTGTCGATGTTTCGTAGCGTCGACTAGCAATTTGTAGCCGTGTGTATGGCTTCTGATGGTTAGCCCTCAAAGACTTAGAATTATACTAGTTCAGGTAACGTGCCCTACATCCAGTATGTGGGTTTCTATTCATGTATCATGAGCATGAGTGCTCAAAGTTTGCATTTGGGTTACGGATGAGTGAGGGTTGTGGTTCATGGTTTAAGAGTGTTGGAATGCTTTCAATCCTACAGAGAGCCCAGGTTACGACGAGAGAGAGAAAGAAAAAGGAAGAAGGGATGGGTTTTATCTTCCCTCCAACATGGGTCATAGTTCTTCGTCTTTATCTCCTTACCTGGGGATGAAATCTTGGAGATCGTGGGGCTCTGACTCAAGTGCGCATCGTTGGGTCATGGTGTCGGTGGTGCGAAAGGGATGAGGATGGCATGTTCCTATCCGTTGTGTTGTAACCGCAAAAATCCTATAGCAGTGGTATCTCTTTTTGTGTAAGCATGGGTAGGCACGCTTAGCACTTGTGTCATGATGGCCTGGTACGGTCGTTCTTTGACTTCTTTGGGAAACAAATCATCTGAGTCCTAGCAAGGAGCTCAAATCTTCATTCGAACACAACTGGCATAGTCACTATTTGTTCTTCAGAGAGAAGGCAACACAAATCCGAGCTATTGGAGGTCTTGGTATGGCTCGCTTCTTGTCCTTCGAGGGATGGATTACATCCGAGGGAGCTCGGATGTTCCCTTGCGGGCCTAGGTGGGGCCCTGAGCCAAGGCGAAGCCTCTGGCGGTGGGATCGTTAATCGCACTGTGTGGCTCGGCGACGGTGCTTCGTGCGAGATTGATCTGTCTGAGCTGTTGGAGAACACACACCAAGTATCGTACAAATACCCATGGGTGAGGGTAAAGTTGGTAATGGTCAAGCAACCAGAACAAATCTGCTCTAGACCATTCAAATTAAGCGCAAGAGACCAATCGAATCCACCCACCACTTTGCTTCTGAAAACCAAACTAATCCAACCTAATAGAATCTTCAGCCCCAAATGAATCCAGACCCACGGGTTGAAACAAGTCTGGTAACTCTCCAACACCATCAGTAGGCTAGAAGATTGATTAATCTAAGCAATAATTATTCCATCCCATCCATCTCGAGGGGAGGCGAGGTTGACATCGATCATAGGCTCAAAGCACCAACGCGACTTGGGGATTGATGATGCGGATCTTGGAGATAAGCAGTGCACCACCACCTTCCTCTGCTTGTAGCGTCCTCGACGCATGATTAGTAAGCAAGATGGTCGACGCCATCGACGCATGGTTGCGGCCGGTCGCCGGGTGCCACCGCAATGGATGGGGAATCGGGGATACAAAACCGAGTCGAAGACTGGGGCAGTACTCAGAGCCAGATCGATCCAAGCTAATTCATTGTGATTTCTAACCCAAACCAAACCAACCCACAAGTACGCTTAGCCCATTTGCCCCAAGCTAAATAGGCCCAATAGAAAAACCAAAATGTAAAAAACGGTTTTGACCCAAACTGTTACCAGATTTAGGTGAGGGTACCCCTTGTTCTGGTAGCTTCTAACTCGATCTTATCCTTAGTGAGGGAGTCGTTAGGTTTGTCTTCTCTTCCTACCACTCCATCTACCTTCAACGAGGTCTCTGCTAGGCTTGGGCAAAAAATACCGAGAACCAAAAATATCAAAACCAAATTTTTCGATACCTGAAACTGAATTTACCGAACCATGTGAAATATGCTGAGTTTGAGTTGTTATATTATTGATTGTACTATTGTAGACTATTATATTAAGTATTAATGGTACTCTACTCTTATAGTCTTGTGGATTTTTTTTATGTGTGTATTTTGCACTAATATTCTCTATGGAATCATGTCAAAATTTTGTCAAAAATTAGCTTTTGAACTTGCTATTACATGCCTATGTGATCATTAGTTTGGTATTTTTCGGTAAATAACGAAAGCGAACCGAAAATACCAAAACCAAATTTTCTCGATACCTATTTTCCAAGGAACCGAATTTCTGTAGGAACCGAAGTACCGAACTGATTGGGTCTGTAATACCAAATGCCCAGGCCTAGTCTCTACTCTCTACTAGATGTCCTCCCCGAATCCTGTATAACTAGAACATTAAGCGCTCTTCGGGCGCCCTACAATGACTCAAAAATAAAAGTTGGTTTATGCTTGAGAAACATACGCTTTATAATTAGGCATGGTAGCACTAAGATATTAAACACATTACATTTACATATAGTCTTTGCCACACAATAACGACCATCAGCCTTTAATTTAATACAATATTTCTCAGCATGTATGTAATTAGTCTTTGCCATACAATTACAATATTTTTTGATACAGAAGGTAACCCTATTACAAACTAGTGATTGTATGTCAACTAGTGGCAGGGCGCGCGCCTCCGCGCGCCCGTGCAGTTGGGAATTTGGGTGAACTGAGGTCTAACATAATATGGATAGGTTTGCAATACAATAGATTAAGGTCCTAATATACACATAAGAAACTTGAATGACATCAGAAGAGAACAGAGTCTGAAGATAAAGTATCAGTAGAGTTGTGCAGATCTAGGTTGTACTATAGTAGTAGACATGTGTGGGTCTGGATATTACGAAGACGCTTTGTCAAAGTATCTGGATAAATAGGCATTTAAGTTTAGGACTGCATGAGACGGTTCTAGCTAAATAATGGTAGATGAGAGTACGATGGCCTGTCTATTACAATCAAAGACTGGAATCGGTTTTGAACTTCTCTATATAGGACTACCTTTTGTTGTTGTGGTCTGGATAACTTGGTGGATATATATGTCGGAGACGCTTTGGGAAATCTGAGTCATCTGACATGTATGATCCCGCACATGTTTCAGTGAAGCCGCCACCTTCGTAACTACTGTAACCTGGTTGGAGGGAAAAGAAATTACTGACTGAAGAAATAATTGTATTTGGGTAATCTAGTTGTATGGTGGAGACAGTTTACAAATGCAATAGGCAGAATCGGACATCACATAACTATTATATTGCAATAAATATGCCAATTTAAAAACAAGGAAGAAGTTTACATCCTACAGTAGGCACCAGGAAGGAACCCTGAAGTTGTCAGTAGCATCGGCAAGGTTGAAAAAGGAAGCTGTAAAATTGGAACATCAATGGCTCCTCCTAAGATCATGTTTGTTTCTAATCTCCATTACACGGTCGGTCTCTTGTGTTGCAATACACAAATAAAGCATACTAGTTACCAAAATATAGTTTGTAAAATATCCCCACAAGAAAAAAACTATTCAATAAGAATCATATTATAGTTTTGCTCAATAACGCTTCATTGGGTAAAGGGAAATACTGTAATTGCACATAAGCATGGTTCGATGAGGCTGACGAAACTGTAACAATGGTAAATTAAAAAGCGGTACCTTTATGTGAAATCTACAAAAAGGTCTACAAATGCTATGGTGCATTACCTGAAAAAGCAAGGACGACCATATGAAACCTTATTAGTGTTCTATATCCTAATCCAATTAGGACTCTATATCCTAATCCAAGGAACACACTGAATATACAGAGAATAATAAAAAAAGAACTCCTACTAATGAATATACAGAGAATAATTAAAAAGGAACTCCTACTAATGAAACTGAATACTGGACCAACTGCGCATGAGCATGTTTCAAATTGATGGGTTCTATAGGCTCCTGTTCTGCCATTTCCATAAAGTAAACAAATACATGATTTGAAGCTTATCATCATCTTTTATATTTCGAGAAAGGTCAATACAAAAGAAATAGATCTAACCATGTAAGGTACCTAATGGTACCTAAGATAATATATTCAGTCAAATTGACTCTAGAGAAAGTTCTACAAAGTATATGAATACTCTTGTTGACATGCTGTTAAAAAAACAGTGTCTTATGAAAATAGTTGAAACAATTATGTGTACGAATATTAATTTGTGGATGCATACTGTCTTATCTCTTAATGTCGATTTATATGGATCATTACTTCTAATACTCGAGTAAGAAAAGAATGAATGGTACGTTTCGGATAATATTCATGGACCTAAAGTAAGGAGAGAAGACCTTTTCAATCACGTACACACATAAATGACCCTGACTTAGCAGCAGATAAGATACAGTTAAATTGTTGAGAGTATAAAAGAACTTAAATAGGGTGAGCATGTTAACTCTATCCCTTTCTTGCAATCAAACTTAGATAGCGGCTGACATATGAATAGTTATCGACCTAAGTTCGAATGGACAGTCATAGGCACACCGGAGAATTTGAAATCAAATACATCGTATGAAAATAAATTGGGAGGGCTAAATGTCAAACAATGGACAAACTTTTGGATAAAAATGACAGCAACATGAACCTGTCATGGGAGAAAAAAAAATAGTTGACAACCATGATGTGGCTGTACACATGGAGGGTGACCTGTTTTTTATCATATATACACAAATCTAGGGAAGCACACCTAAATTGATGGCATAAAATTCTAGAAACAACAGTTAAGTGGAACATATATTTATCATTTAACTGCTCTCTTCACATGGCAAGAAGCTAAATTGGGGGCGCTAGATGTACAACAATGGACAAACTTTTGGATAAAAATGACAGCAGCATGGACCTGACATGGGAGAAAAAAAATTTAGTTGACAGCCATGATGTGGCTGTACACATGGAGGGTGACCTGTTTTTTATCATAGATACACAAATTTAGGAAAGCACACCTAAATTGATGGCATAAAATTCTAGAAACAACAGTTAAGTGGAACATATATTTATCATTTAACTGCTCTCTTCACATGGCAAGAAGCAAGATCCATAGTAACGTGTATAGTATAAAAAACCTCAAAAGGAGTGCAATAGATATCTAAGAATCAACAATAACTGAACATACTTTAGCAAGGCTACACACACCTATATATATTGCCTGTAGCTCCATTGGTTTCCAAATGAATGAGATTTACCACAACCTGTCCACATAAAAAACATGTATAAAAAAACAGCACCGGGAATTAGCACTACTTCAAATATTCTATTCAAATATTCTATTTACTAATAACGCTCATTGTATTGAAAATAACTAAGGAATTTGTTATTGACACATCAATGATAAATAAATTATACATAAGCATCGTCTCAAACGTTCTATTTATTAATGAATATCATTGTGTTGAAGATATAATTATGAAATTTATGCTTGACATATCATGCTAAATAAATAGATTATACATATAAAAACGGGCACTATATCATGAAAACAACTATTAGGGGCAAAGCAAGCACGCACATACACATATAATTTGAAAAGAAACTTCAGTCTCATACATAGGAGCATCAAAATTATGCTACAGCACCAATAATCACTCGGTCATGCTGTAGATTGAAGAACACTTGATAACTAAAGGTAAATCATATAATACTGAACGCATTTAGAAACACTTATCTATGAAACTGGAAGAAGTCCATGCTGCAGATAGAAGAATACTTACAAATTATGACGAGGACTATATATTTCCTCCCCAAAGACAAAGAAGGTACAAACAAATCTATCATATGAAACCACCATAATCCCTATCCCAACAATCTTGGGCGTGCAACCAGGACACCCGCAATCGCGACCAACCTCCACGAGCATGGAAAGTGAAAGGGTCAAAGAGAGATAGAGGATGTCGTACCTCCATACGAGGATATCGATGGCGCAGCTAGGGTTTGGTCGGTCACGCCATCAAAAGGAAAGGAGAGAGAGAAAGGGGAGGGGAAAACGGAGGGAGAGAAGGCCGAGGTTGGACGGAGGAGGAGGAGGAGGAGGCGAGGAGGCGGCGCCCGCCACAAGAGACAAGAATCGAGATCATCCGGTGGTGCCGTTGTCGCCCTCCGCAGGCCGTCGGGACAGAGAGAGACTGATGGGGAGAGAGGAGGAAGCCAGGAGAAGAATCTGGAATGAGGGAATGAGAAGCGGGAGCCAGGTATATATTTAGTGGTTGGGCTCCTGACGAGAAGCTGCAGAAGCTAGCCAGAGCAACTGCGACGACGAAGAGATGGGCATTGCGCTAGGGTTAGGGACTTGGGGTACGCCTCTAGGGGGTTTCTCCGCGAAATATCAAGGGGGATTTCTGCAAAATGGTTAGGCTATCGACTTTTGCCTTGTTCACGTCGAAATAAAATCTATAAGAGAGCTCATGTCATAAAATATCAAAACATGTTTACTGTTTAAAGGGGACAGGTTAGACGACAAGTTGATTTTCTATAAGGTAGAGTTTTTTTTCTTCAAAGTACGCAATGCCGTGTGTTCGCATGTAGATGAGCCACCAATGCTCCAATTGCTATGGTGCGAGGAGAACCGAGTGGATTTTAAACAACCCTAATAAAATTTACAATAGGGCCCGGGTCATAAAATGTCAAAACACATTTATTATTTAAATGGGACAGGTTGGATGACGGGTTGATTTCTACATGGTAGAGTTTTTCTTTTTACAAAGTATGTAATGATGCGTGTCCACATACAGATGAGCCACCAATGCTCCAATTGCTCTGGTGCGAGTAGAATCTGAGTGGATTTTAAACAACCCTGTACTTGTCCATGGTTTTTCCTACCATAAAAGACCATCACACTGTTTTTTCCTACCATAAATAAATAAAAATAAAACCCCTAACCCTTACGCTCAACAACGCCATACCCGCCGCGGCGCACCGTTTGTTATCCGACGCAGCCACGCGCGTTCCCTTTTAGCACCACGTTCCCACAAGGAATCTTCTAGCTATCACTGCCGCCAGGTCCCACGACATACCAGCCCCACTACTCAGTGACTATAGATACGAACGTATCTAGTATAACGCCCCACCACGGCAGCTGGCGCCACGAGGTTGACGACAGGTATCCGGTAGGCAGCCAGCCCCCACAAGGTCACGAGCCGCTCATTTTTTCAAAACAAAAACGCCTCCAGCCTCCTCTTACCCTCCCCGCAGCCCGCAGCCCGCAGCCCCGCTTCACCTCTCTCCCTCCCCTCTTCTCTCCCCCACCAAATCCTCGTTCATTTTTTTTTTAATCCATCCAAGCGACTTCGCGTGTGAGGGCGGGAGAGCGCGCGGGGCTAGGGTTTCCGCGGGCGATGGAAGCAGCGGCGGCGGCAGCAGTGGCGTCGTCCGCATCTGCCTCGGCTTCCGCGGGCCGGTCGCGCCCATCTACCAGCGCCGCCCAGGTTCGCCTCTCCCCTCCTGCGTTGCTGAGGTTCCGCGTGCGCGGGTCGGCGTGTGGTTCGCGTCTTTGGTCAAGGAGGCAATGCCGATTGGGTTTGGTGGTCGATGCGGCGGCGATCGGTCGGTTTGGAGTAATTTGAGCAGAGATCTGGCGGCGTTTGTGGGGGTGTCGAGTTGCGGGCGCCGGATTTCGATGCGGAGCTTTAGCTGTCTGTTTTGTTTGTGCTGCTGCGCGTGCGCGCTCCTTTAGGGAGGTTTCTGTCTTTGTGGCGGCGGTAGGTTGGACTGCCACGGTGTTTTTTCTGGAGACGACTTGGTTTCGTTTCAGGTTGTTTTCAGAGACTGTATAGTGGTCTGGTCAACAGAGACTGCATTCCATAAAAAGGTTGATGGAATCAGAATAACTACTGTACTTTCAGCTTGGAGCTGGACTCCGCGTTTTTTTTTCTGTGAGGTTGTATCATTTTTTCCAGTGACCTGTATACTGAATCCAGGGAATGTAGCTTGGCAAGCTACATCCCTGCTTCGGATTGTTTTGCTTCTGAACTCCGAAGAGCTAGCCTATATTTTATGGATTTATTCCATTTTTCACATAGAAGGGAATTCTGGGGGTGCAACCATTGTATACCGTGTGGAGATACCACAATCAGCACAATAAGGAACACTATAAAAGAAGTTGTTGTCATGTTCTTAAACAGTATTCAGTTCTCTATGGTAGTATCTTACTCATAGCAGAATGTGGAACTAAGGAAGTAATTTTTGCTCAATATTTCATGTAAACAGTGCTCACATAAGATGATGTGCATGTGGATAACAGCCGACCTTATACAAGAATGAAGTTAGTTATGTTTAACTGTTATATGTAAACCTTTGGTCTGGAATCAAAACATTCTTGGACTCAAGGAGGGTATATTTTAAATGTCATTGTCTAAGTTTTGTTCATCTGTTGAATGAATCAAATCACTATGATAGAGATTTTATGTGTATGTGTTCCCTTAAAATATTTGTTTTCTATGCAGTGCATTTGTTTTTTTCCTAGCCTAATTTGCATCTTGCTTGTGCAAAATGGTTAAGAAGTATGTTAGAATTTAGTATCCATTTTTCTGTTGCGAGTTATTTTTATTAAGAATGTTGGAGCTGTGTGCATAGAGAACCAATTGTTGGGTTCTGATAGTGATATTGATTTTGATCCAGAGCTGTTTGCCATTTGATCATATTAGCTGGCATGTGGGTTTGTACTATGCCTGCTGTGACAAATCTACTGCTTATGCTTTTCTTAGGACACCACTATTACAGCTGTGCAAGCTGGAGAAGAAAATGCTGCCTCCCCCTATGTTTTATCTGTTATTGACTCGTTAAAAAAGAGGATTACCGCAGATCGTTTGACTTACATTAAGGTTTGAAGTTACATATTTTGTCCTTTTTCAGAATATTTGTACCCCATATTTATGTTGCTAATTTTCTTCTTTTGATCCCTTGCCAGAATAGGATAGGGGAGAATAAGACTAATCTCAGCAGCTATACACAGAGGACTTACAATTTATCAAAAAATAGGCAAATTAATACATTAAAGGGTACTGATTTAGCATCAAATTTGCTCACAAAAAGGCAAGATGATGCGCTATGCACCCTTCATAGTTATGATATTATTCCGGTTGACAAAGATGGTGGCAATTTTCAAGATGAAAGTCCTTTCTCCTCATCGAAAGCTATTTTTGGTGGAAATCTTGGTCCCAAGAATGCTATTAGACCAATTAAATTACCAGAAGTGCCAAAGCTTCCACCTTATACAACATGGATATTTTTGGACAGGTCAGTTTATAATCATAGGCTTTTCTTGACATCCCAAACCCTGCATAAGCTACCTAGGTACTGACAATAGAATGTGTCATATACATGTTATAACACATTTAGCACATGCAAGATTTTGTGTTCAATCTTTATTTGGATTTTTCTAGTGACCCTTTGGTACCGTTTTTTTAATTGTCAAACCTGTCCCTTTGCTAATTGTATTTTATTACAAGAAATTTGGTGGCATATTTTTTGCACTAATGTTTCATAAGATTCATTTCTAAAACTTGTCAGTTTTAACCAAGTTCTCTGCACTGGGTACGCCCTTTTTTTAACCAAGTTCATAGTAAAATGCACCAACATCAAATAGTTTCTATGAACTGGAAAAGCTTGGTTGGAGTTAGAGAAAAACTTGTCTAGTGCATTTATTTGGTATTGTAGATGTTAATATATTTTTTTATAAACTTGGTTAAAGTTAGAGAAGTTTGACTTGGGACAAAACTAAAAGGACCTACTTTTGAGGACAGAGGGATTAGTATGTTACAGTATTTTGAACTGATATTGTTGTGTTTGTATTGTTGCCAGATTATGAAAATGTAATATTTAACAGTAGTATGATTTTTGGGGTATTTATGAAATAGTGTGCTACAATATTTGATGGTAGACGGCAGTATACTAAGTGCTAAAATAGTTGTTATCCCTTGGCTGAAAAATAAATGCAAACATGTATGCAAGAGGCATCAGTTCGTTTTGTGGTACTTCACAAGATTAAGGTATCTTGAGATGTAAGGGTTTCTGGGGTTTCATGTAGGAACCAGAGGATGACAGAAGACCAATCTGTACTTGGTCGACGGAGGATTTACTATGATACCAGTTGTGGCGAAGCTCTAATTTGCAGCGATAGTGAAGATGAAGCCATTGAGGATGAGGAGGAAAAAAAGGAATTTAAACATTCTGAAGATCGCATTATTCGGTATGGAAGCCTGAGTTATTGCTTTTTCTTTTGCATTGGTGTGTATGGTGTTTCAGTTATGCACTAATTTGTGATTGATGGATGTGATGATTTTTACAAATACAATTTATTGAAGGAATACAATTGCACTCAACTTTCTTTAATGTGAAAGTTACACATTTCTTTTTGAGAAGGAATAGGTTACGTACACTGCTGCTATATCATTGAAGTATGATAAGTTGTAAATACACTGTTGCCTGAACCTTGATTGCTTCTGCTGGGTTTCAACTCTAGCCTACCCCAACTTGTTTGGGACTTAAAGGCTTTGTTGTTGCATCAGAAAATTGCTCGTTCAAAAGTATGGTGCCTCCAAGCTATCATGTGGAGTTTGAACTCGATTACACATTTGTAGCCAGTGGCAGTCCCAGGATTTGCTCATGACTAGGGCCTCTACGTAGCACTGAAAGTGATGATAGTATGATACATTTCAATTTTTTTGTACCACAAAAATAAAAAAAGGTTAATACTTGTTTTTGTTTCTTTTCTATCGTTCCGGTTACTTCTCAGGGCACAGGAAATAAATAAGCTTAAATACCCAAGGAAAAGAAGAAGAAAAAACTATTAAAGGAGGCAAACACGAAGTGTAGGGTGAACTGATGTCGCTAGCTGCAACATATACTCCTAGTTTCAAGATTATGGGCTCTAAAAGGCTAAAACTATTGGTACAAGTTGGCCAGCGACTAAGGCCTGGGCCCTAGGGGCCTGGGTCCCATGTCCGTCCCTGTTTGTAGCAATGTATCTACAAATATTTTGTAATTTCAGCATAAGAAATCTAGTTTGTGGGCAACTGAAAGAAAAGCACATCTACATATGCCATATTTGATTTTGTATAGGGTCTTTGAATTTTTCCCTGTACATAAAAAATTACATGAAGTACATAATGATAGTCAAGTATTGTACTCCCCCCAAGAAAAAATAAGTTGTGTTTTAGGGTTGTCTTAAGCCTGTTCATAAATTTGGTTGCATGCTACTTGTGTTGAGTTTGGATATTTGAAAACTAATACAAGTAAATTTGTTTCAATAGGTAGTTTCATAAAAGTGCACTTCTGCTATAAGATATAATGTAACAAAAAACACTAATCAAAGTTTGTGTTTTGAATAGCTTATTGATGTCCAAAACATCACTTATTTGAGGGAACAGTCTTTTTTACCATGTACTATATACCCCATTCCAGTGAGACTAAAAATCTTGGTGATTTGTACATTGTGGCCATAAGTGCCTTGGTTTTCCAACTAATTAGTGAAAAGAAGCCATCCATTGAGAGGATGGTTGAGGGAGTACCATACTGTTCATATGTTCGCCTACTTTTCGAAGAGAACTTCACTAGGTTTAAATAGCCAATCATTTATTTTCCTCTTATTGCATTTGAGGACTCCAATAGCTGATAAAATACTATACCACTTTTGCGGCATTACTCTGCTGACTGAAATTTGTTTTCCCTGTTTTTTACTTGCTATCGTTTCATTATTTGAAGTGCCTTCAGAATACATGTTTTTGCTTTTATTTTGGGTTACCAAAGTTGATAGAGACTGAAGATAAGGGATGAAAACTGGACGGATATTTTTTGATATCCGTCCGTCCGAAAGGGGTTCAAATGCTAAATGGATAATCCGTATCTGAATCTGGATATTCAATATCTGTGACTTATCCAAATCCAGATATTCAAAGTGAAATATTTTATACGTATACGGGATGGGTATCAATATCTGCTACTTTCCATATCCGAGGAAAAAACAACTACCCATATTCATATCCTTACATATCCGTTCCTATCTGATCCGTTTTCATCCCTAGTGAAAATCAGCATTTTGCTTATCCTAGAATTACCTGTCATAATCATGTCAGGATTATGTTATTTTCTTAAATATTTTCTGTTGTAGTTTGTGCATTTTGTTTATGGTTGATATATTAATTCTGATGTTAGGCTATATTTTGGCAACAGACTTTGTTCTATTATATAAAATATTAAATTTGTGTCTTCACTGGTAGGATAGATCATCAATTATGAACTCTGTGTTCTGCTTGTTCCACTTGATCAGTGATATCATTTAATGGTCTACTTTTTTGTACTTTGTTAGGATGACAATTCAAGAATGTGGCATGTCTGATGCTGTACTGCAAACGCTAGCTCGATACATGGAGCGGGCTACTGATGACATAAAGGCTAGTTCTCTTTTGTTTCCATATGACTCATTAATGCCGTGTATGAGAAAGGTGTATTTGGCCCTCTTTTCCATTTCATCTACTGGATCTGACGTATAAAATTGCATCCTTTTTTACAGGCCAGGTATGAAATCCTGCATGGTGAGAAAACTAAGGATTCTTGCAAGAAAGGGACTGAACATAATGCCAAAGTGGAAGATTTGTACCGTGACAAAGATTTGGATGCAGCATTGGATTCCTTTGACAATCTCTTCTGTCGACGATGTCTAGTACGCCTGACTCTTAACTTTCAGATATTCTTTTCTTGGACCTGTGTGCTGACGGACATTTCTGCTCATTGGTGATGCTGATAGGTGTTTGATTGCAAGCTACACGGGTGTTCTCAAGATTTAGTATTTCCTGTAAGTTTTCACAAGTTGAAAGAGTTATTTCTAAAATTGTGTGTTTACTTGATTTGCGTCTTCTTTGTACAGACAGAAAAACATACAGCTTGGAGTGGCGTTGATGATGGTGTACCCTGTGGTATTCATTGCTATAAACTGGTTCGTATTTTGTTGCGAATGACATCAAATAGTTGTTTTTGCTGTGTGACAATTTAGCCTTCTGAACTTTGAAGCATAAGCTTACGATTTTGCTTTGGTACTTGTTTTGTTAACAACATTTTTTGCAGGCCTCTGAACCAGATTCTGTAGCTGGAGTTGATCACATGCTTATTGATGTTGAGGAGCCAGCTCACTCATCAGACAATGTGATGAACCAGCCAGGCCCAAATAGGAAAAAGAACTGCTCCAGTGGAAGGAAAACTAAATCTCAACAAAGTGAAAGCTCTTCAACTGCAAGGGTTATCTCAGAAAGCAGTGACTCAGAAGTACATCCAATAAGCAATAAATCTCCACAACACTCCCCTAGTCCCTCAAAAGTTAAAATTGGGCCGAAAGGTGGAATCAGAAAGATTACCAATAGACGAATTGCCAAGAGAATTCTCATGAGTGTGAAGAAAGGACAAAGGGAAATGGCATCATCTGATTCTAATTCTGTTAGTGGATCCTCTTTGGCAAGGGACATGAAGCTTAGATCTGATACACGAAATGGAAATAAGGAATTAATTGTATCCTCACAACAGAGTTCTCCAAGCACAAGAATTTCCAAAAAGAAGAGTACACCTCAAATTGGGAATAACTCAGCTTCTGCTGAAGTTCATAATGATTCAACGGAAGCAAATAACCGTCATTCAGCAACAGATGGTTACGATAGTTCAAGGAAAGAAGAATTCGTCGATGAGAATATATGCAAGCAGGAGGGTTACTTGAGATCCTGGAAGGCAATTGAGCAGGGACTTCTGGTGAAAGGATTAGAGATTTTTGGAAGGGACAGGTTGGGTCTTTCTCCTAATATCAAACTCCAGATAGCTCATAGTGATCAGAATGGTGTTCCTTGTGCAAGGAACTTAGGAATTTTGTTTCCCTTAATCTCCAAATTTCTTGAAATTCATCTTCTCTTTACCTTGTGACACCACATAAACATATTGGAGATCTTTCTACTGTAATTGTAAAAAAACAATTTAATCTTGGTTTACCTAAACTCAATAGTTACACTGAACCCATGGTTTGCCTTTCACACAGTTGTTTAATTGCTCGGAACCTTCTTGCTGGAATGAAGACATGCAAAGATGTTTTTCAGTATATGAATTATATTGAAAACAGCAGTGCATCTGGAGCTCTTAGTGGTGTCGATTCTCTTGTTAAAGGATATATTAAGGTTGGATTCACTGTGACCATTATTTGTTGATACTTACGTTCAAGCTGGTAACTTAATTTGGTGTTGTCCATGTTGATGTCCCAGGGTACTGAGTTGCGCACAAGGTCAAGGTATTTTAGAAGGCGAGGTAAAGTCCGTCGTTTGAAGTACACCTGGAAATCTGCAGGTTACCATTTCATAAGGAAAAGGATTACCGAAAGGAAGGATCAGCCTTGTCGACAATATAATCCTTGTGGTTGTCAATCTGCATGTGGAAAGCAGTGTCCATGTCTTACAAATGGGACATGCTGTGAGAAATACTGCGGGTGAGTTACCTGTTTTCCTTTGCGTCAGCTTATTAGCATGCATAAATTTGGTTGTCAATCTGCATGTGGAATGCAGTGTCCATGTCTTACAAATGGGACATGCTGTGAGAAATACTGCGGGTGAGTTGCCTGTTTTCCTTTGCATCAGCTTATTAGTATGCATAAATTTTTATGTACAGCATATTCTTTATACATTTTGTATCTCATTTTGAATAACTAATACATTTTTTTGTACTAAAGAGGGGCAGTGGAGACCTTAAGGGTCACCAATTTGCAACCCTATGCAGCATTATCTATCATGGTTTTACCTACCTTTTGCTGATATCAGAAATGTTTTATCCGTTCTGCCAGATAGTTGCCCTTTGTTTAGAATATGAACTTTTCTATGTTAGTCTTGTTGCAGGCAGACTCCATAAATCAGGAATGGTTGCCCTTCTGGTTATTAAAGGTGTTGGTTAGGGGAAAAATTGTAGTATAGACAGTTATAGATTCACTCTGGTTTTCTATGCTGTTGCAACGCTGTGGTAAATGAAAATCAATTCTTTTCTGATGCTGCTCTTTGAGTTGCTGTCTTGTCACGACCCTTTTAATCTAGAAACATTTGTATTCAAATATACTGTGGCGATGTTTGGATTGTTGCTTGAACACATACCACCTAGTTTTTGGTGTTAGACCATGCCCAAGTGTGCCTGTTTGGATTGGTGCCAATCTTTGGCTTGCCCACACTCACGCTGGTTCACACAGTCAGTTCACATAATCTTTGGCCTGCGTAATCCTGTGCCATTTGTTTGGCTAGCCCTGTTGGCAGGGCAGACACAGGCGGGATACAAACAATCTACTTTGCTGACTGTTTCTTAGTTTAAGCATTTTTTATTCTTGATTGGGAAGGAAATTAGTATGTGGCAACATTTCACCACCATCCTGCTGTTGTAATTTTGTGATTCATCATGTTCTTTTTGTGAAAGGTTATCCCTTCCCTTATGCATTCAGGTGTCCAAAAATTTGCAAGAACCGTTTTCGAGGATGTCACTGTGCAAAGAGCCAGTGTCGCAGCCGCCAATGTCCATGTTTTGCTGCTGACAGGGAATGCGATCCGGATGTTTGCAGAAACTGCTGGGTTGGGTATGTATTTTAAAATCTGGGTCATGGCCATCATTTACAGTGACACCTCCAAATTATGTGTTCTCCAATCACACCCTGGTCGTTTACCACCTCTTAAAAAAAATTATATGTTCCTTATATTTCACCACCAGAGGTTTTGAGACTAAGTAGTTGTATGAAGTAAAACTGTAGTTGTAGACTTGTATTGCAATTTTCATTGTTTGGATTTCTATACCTTTGAAGTAGGGTAGATGTAACTTCATCTATTCCTAGGAATATTGATCACCAAGAAGTGCATTGTGATTCTCTCTGTTTATGTTGTACTATCTCAATTTACTAAATTCTGCATATTGAAGTCTTAACAAGTCGATTATATTTAAGATGATCAAGTTAATAGAATTGGTTGTCAGTTATCATAGTAATTTGAAATTATCTTGCCATGCCTTATGCTAAATACTGAACTAAATGTTAATTTGTGCCTTTGCAGTTTTTAACTGGGCAACATGCCTAGTTTCCCATTGAACAGCTATGAACTCTGGGGTTAAATATTACACAATACTAGGCTGTATGTAATTTTGTTGGAATATATCCAATTTATACAGGATGATTTACAAAATGTAGGCTTTAGTATCAACGTTCTGCTGACATGTATAGGCAATCGTCTCGTTTAATTTGAACTAGGCTTTACAACTTCAGGAATTTTCCTAATTTAAGTTTTCTATGGGTCGACCAAAAAAATTGAAGATTTTTCAATTTTTTCATGACATTAGAGCTGAGTAGAAGGCAAAGAAAGATTGAACAAATTTATCATTATCAAAAACTAGTTATAAAAAAAGTTTTGGTCAAATGGTTCCTCATTAGTCATTAGAGCTGATTTAAATCCATAATTCTTTTCTAGAATAAATCATCAGTACACTAAACTACAGTCACTTATATTTTCCAACTTACAGGTGTGGTGATGGTACATTGGGAGTTCCAAACCAGAGAGGAGATAATTATGAATGCAGGAACATGAAACTGCTTCTTAAACAACAACAAAGGGTAAAAAGCTTTGCTTTGATAATATACCCATGCTATTGGCATGTTGCTTATAATCCAGTGAAGATGATAATTGATTTATCTATATCTATCCTTTAATTTCATTTTTCAAGAAAAAAGAACTGCAAATCCTTTTACAGGAGATTCTCAAGTCTACTTTTCTTTAAACTTCATCTGGTACATTGTTATTGTGATGTACAAGTGATTTGAGTGCAAAGGTCTAAATCCATCTGAGTTTATGAATGAATGAACATATGTTGTGGTGCACTGAGGCAACAAGTCCCAGTAAAATATTCTTACATTTTACTTTAGAATTTGCTCTTTTTGAAAAATATTTCATCAAAGGTCTTTACTTAGTCATGACTCATGATATTCTTAGGTCTTACTTGGAAGATCAGATGTCTCTGGCTGGGGAGCATTCCTCAAGGTAAAACTATTCATCTGTTCTTTTCCATTCCTACTTCCCGTTATGATGCCTTATCTGTCTTTTCTTAAACCTTCAGAATAGTGTTAGCAAACATGAATATCTTGGTGAGTATACTGGGGAACTAATCTCACACAAAGAAGCAGATAAGCGTGGAAAGATATACGATCGTGAGAACTCATCGTTTCTTTTCAACCTGAACAATGAGGTAGGTGTGCAAGATTATCCTCTGCAAGCATTCAGTTATTATGCTTGGCTGACCACCTGATGGGACCAGCACTGTATTGTGCCTTTGTGTTAACTGAAATTTTCAACTGCTCTGCTTCGTCCACCATCTGCCACAAGCTGACTTGTACTGTTTGGATGCAGTATGTTCTTGATGCATACAGAATGGGTGACAAGCTGAAATTTGCCAACCATGCCCCTGACCCGAATTGCTATGCCAAGGTTATCATGGTAGCTGGTGATCATAGAGTGGGCATATTCGCCAAAGAAAGAATCCTCGCTGGCGAAGAGTTATTCTATGATTACCGCTATGAGCCTGACAGAGCCCCTGCTTGGGCCCGGAAGCCTGAGGCTTCGGGAGGAAAGGATGATGGGCAACCGTCCAATGGGCGTGCAAAGAAGCTCGCCCAAAACACCAGAGGCTGAATCTGATTCTGATTCTTTCATTGTTGGGCCACAAATTTGGCAGCCATTCAACCAAGATAGGAACCTGTCATTCATAGGCCCCAATTTATTTGAACTTGTCATTGTAACTCGAATGTTTCATGTACTTGAATTCTCCATGGCAGCTGGTCCTGCCATCCGTAGGATTAGCTGGTGGGCGACTGATCTGATGTAACATGAGCTGCTGATAGGTAGCGAGTGCCCCTTTAGAGCCTGATTCATATGGGGGGTACGGTCAGAGCGTTTCTGAAGCAACTAGTCGAAATGCTGCTCCTGTTTTTGTTGCCGCAAAAGTAGCATGTTAAGCTAGGTTTAGTGCAATTTATTGGCTAGTTGTGCCAGGAGGGTTGCATTAAAGTAGGCTTACTTGGAGTACAAAATGCCGTCTCTAATGCCAAATCTGTACTCTTACCCAAAAGAAATTATGCCATGAGTTCATAGCCCTGTTTGGAACTTATTTTCACCGTGCAAAGCTCATCCACCGTGAGAATGAACGAGTCGTCCGATTTCTCGTACCACGTGGCTTAGCTGTCGCACCACGCGGTCGTAGAACACGTATCCTCTGCAGAAAATAATGTGTATTTTATATTATATATACTTGCATTATGATTACATGACTGTTAGCACACCTTTCCTGATTAGTTCACAGAACAACTTGATTCCGATACAAATTAGAGTACACGACCTCAGGGGAGGAGGTTTGGAGCTAGCAGAGCAATCTAGATGGAGGAACAGAGAACTGGGCAAGGACGACAACCCTAGACCTAGGGGAGACTCGAGGTGGAAGAGGAGTGCCAAGGTAGAAGAAGAATAGGAGACGAACTTTGTTCCTTTCTGATTTTGAATGCCTCCCTTACTGATGTTTCTCCTCTTGTAGTTGCTAAGACTTGTTGCATGGGCGACTGGGTCGTGGCCCATACGAGAGGCAGCCCATCTGATGCAAGTATCTGACATTCCCCTATATGAAAACCTGGGGGATCTCTTGTCTTGAGTTGGGTTGCAAAGATAGCCATTGTTACCGGAATGCCTAAGCGCTGGGTGTCCAGACGGGACGTCGTGTCCGGATGAGGCTCCAACACCTACGCCGCTCCCTCGTCCGCAACTTGCCCCACGCCTGCGTCCTGCGTCGCTCCCCAGCACCCGCACCCGCATCCGTCGCAGGGACCCGTGCCCCCGTGCCCACCCTGCGCCCTGCACGGAGAAACCCACGTGGGTTGATCCACGGCTGCGCCCCAAGCAAACAGCCACCGGCCACGCCATGCAACACCCCGATCTACCTTTGCAACATCCAGATGAAACCAAACCTTTGCAAACATACATCTAAAACAGATGAAACATTTGGAACATAGAGTTGAAACACCATTGCAACATGTGCAACATCCGATCTACTTTTAAAACATCTAGATGCAACACTTGCAACATACAAAAGAAGACAGATGAAACACTTGAGGCACGCGTCTGAAACACTTGCAACATACATATACAAAAAACAGATGAAACATTGGGGATAGACGCTTGCAACATACGTGTACAACCATTACAACATCTGCAACATCTCGATCTACTTTTGCAACATCCGCATGAAACAATTGAAACATATATCTAAAACAACTGAAACACTCGAAACATGGGCTTGCAACATGTCTGAGAAAGCGTCCAGAAACATTTGAAACACAACATCGCCGCGCGGTCATGACCTACCTGGTGGGCAACTGCGGTGGCGCACGCCCGCCATGTCAGCCGAGAGAGAGGAGACGATGCCGGATCTGGGGAGGGCACCGACGGCCGGGGTAGGGGAGGGTCAGTAGCTTGCTTGGATCTCACCGGAGTGGGAGAGAGGGCCACCGGATCCGCGGGCGTTGGGCACTCCCGGTGGGTGAGGACGCTGCGGTAGGGGAGGAGGCCGCCGTGGTGGGGGAGCGCACCGCCGTTGGCCAGGGAGGTAGCTATGACCTCGCGTCGGGGTAGGTGCGGGGCGCGAGCACGGAAGAGAGGAGGAAGCGAGGAACTGAGTGCGGGAGTGAGCAAGTGAGGCGTCCGTCCGTTCTGGACATCTTAACTGGAGCATTATCGCATTGTTTCTAATTGTCACCTGGATGTTTCCATTGTTTCCTCTTCTGAACTGAGCCTTCCTGAGTTCCCATCCAGTTTGTAAGGCTGCACTGGAACACATCTTCAAGACATCAAATGAATCAGCGCGCAAAAAGTGCATAAGTTTGGCTCCCGAATCCCATCTGATGCTGGACAGGTGAAGGCACAATTTTAATATGCTAGCTCCGGTGCTTCCCTTTGCTGCCATACTAATCAACAGTGGAGGACCAAAAGGCTCACAAGACAAGGAATATGTCAAGCTCAACCAATTCGCTCCAGACTGCATTTCCTTGCTGATACTAAAGAATCCTTCATCAAGCAGCAGCACTTCCCAGCATATCTGGAAGGGTGGTGCATCAAGTAACGGTCTCAAGTATACTGAACTTCTTAGCATGAGGGCTATATTCAGTAATGTAAGATGGAAGTAGGTCCACAATTTTATTGGTTGACAGGAAGAAAGTGTCATTGCTAGAGCCATCATTGAAATAAAGAAACATGGCTTTCTTTGGCAGGCCCACATCCATGGACACAACTTGGCAATATTTGCTTCTGTGTGGTAGAAAGTCAAAACTGCAAGTGCATTATCAACCACAAACACCTCACGTTGGTACCCAGAAGTGGATCAAGCTGAAGGTAGCCATGAAGGATGGAGCTAACAGAAACACCACCCTGTAGTAGCAATTAGTACCTATCGATGTCTTAATTATGATGAGCAATTAGTTTAGATGGTGCAAAGGCAAACCAGACTTCGCCTCACTTGTCCTGAAATAGACCTATCTAGGTGTACTTTTTTTTTCCCAAAGAATGAATTATATTAAAACTGTGTATCCTAAAATTACATATAGAAAAACCTCGTAAGATAAAAAGAAACAATATTTTATCCAAGTCCTTATGTCATATTCTTTCCTAGTGGGTTTGAGCGATACAGTTGATGCTGCAAATGAACATAGCACCGTCGAACAACAAAATCAGAGTACAGTCCGCATACCAAATCTGCCTACCAACCCTAAAACTATGAACATGATGCAAGATCGAACGTTTCGAAATTAGACCGAAACACACTTGAATTGATGAAAGAATATCGATGGTTGAACACAGACTGCATATTAAGCACCCTAACCCTTGATGTATCAAATTCGACACTTGATTGTTCTCCATGGTCATCGGCAATGAGGTCGACAACTCAGAGTTAACATCACTGTAGACAATACCCATCAGCACATTTACCCTTATATATGGTAACCACAAACTAACGTCCGGTCGACAAATTGACTCCCTCAACGATGATCTTGTCATGGCCATCGTCGAAGTTATGGTAGGTAACAAATTTCGGATCGAACATTAGCGATGATTTTGCCTATTGATTTATTAAAATTAAACCTAGAAAACTGAATCTAAAGAATTAATTAACTCTAAACGAGGGATCAATTTCCTCTCCTTGTCACTAGCAACCTCGCTAGAGGGGAAGAAAAGGGTCCTCTGTATGGGCAGCCGCGGCCAAGGAAACCGTATATTTGATGTATGCATATATACATGTACCCCAAACAACTTGTTGACACCCAAAAGTGTGCCAACGTGAAACGAGGACAACACCAACAATTCCTAGCACCCGGGAGATGCAAAATATTTGGCGCGATAAACAACAAAAGGAACAAGCAAAAAGGGAAGAATATGGCGCCTGTCTTGATAGAGTTGGCTGAGGCGGTTCTACTACCCCTGTTTTCGGCCTGGCCACAGTGTCTGAGCCTATGAAAACCGGCTTAGCTGCTAAGTCCGAGTCGGTTTGGTTTCCAACTCAGTTTTTAGATCTATTTCGACGTGGGAAACATGGAAAACACATTTTAGACTTGTTTTTACTATGATAAAACCACCCTCTCTATATATGTGAGAGGATTACGACCGACTGAAGATCCTAACTTCCATCGTAAAAAACACAACACCTACCCTCTTTTGCTCTAGTTTCTCTCTACCTTGTTGTTCGTCACATCTCCTGGTGAGATTTGGCAACGCTCTAGGTGGCCTTGCCGACCCTAGGACACCCTTCACATGCTCCTCCTCAATGGTTCTTTGCGGGAGGTGTTCAAGAGTTTACCAGGCGAAGAACGGGTTCAACATCGGCCTAACCAACCCCTCGGTTGGTTTCGTCGTTCCGCTGCGTTCTTGTTGCAATCAAGCTTGTTTGCTATCACGGGTGTCCTCAACCTTGCTAGTGTGTAATTCCATTCGGTGTCAACACAACCCTTGTTATTCTGGACTACACAAACAAAATGTGATTCACTACTACAGAAATCTTATTGGAGGCGTGCAAAAAGGGTTAATGGAGACGGGCATTGCAACCGCCTCCAATCAAAGGTCATGGTTAATCTGTGACCTACGGAGGCGGTTGCTTTGCCCGCCTTCGTAAATGAAAAACAAAAAAAGAGAAACTCGCGGACAGGCCTACCGAGCCCATCCATGGGCGCCGTCCCTACAGCTGCTCGCCGGAACTTGGACCGCTCGCACCGCCGGCATTCGGCCTCCCGCCATTAGGATCTAGCCTCCCGCTGCCAAATCGAGCCGCCCGCGGCCGGATCTGGGGAGCCACCAGGCCAGGGGAGGATGCCCGTCCCGCTGCGCCGTCGCTTGCCCGATTGGGAGGGGCATGCGCACGTGGCCGCTGCCGGGAGGGGCGGATCGAGCAGCCCAGAGCCGGATCTAGGGAGCCGCCGTCGAGACCTGATCTGGGAGCCGCCGGGCACATTGATGAAAGATTTGCGATCATGGTTAATCATAGACATAGAAGAATAGTTAAAGGATATGGTGGCATATTTGTTGTCGTCATTCTTCTTGCCCTTTCCTTTCTTGTCCTTCTTGCTATACACTTGGTAGGACTCAACATCATCACCATCTTC